TACACAAGGCAAGGCAAGTTCAACAAGGCATTTCCAAGATTATATCCCGTAAATGTCCAGTATTCTCTTTGTCGTAGATAATGTGTTATGGTTTAAATCTCAAAAAACTCTGAAAAATTGTTAGTGCCAGAGTAAGTTTCACATGCAGCCCCCTATATCTCCTTGGATGTGCTACATAGCACGAAATTTTTTCCAATCTTCATGGTCACAAAATTTATCAAACATAAATAACCAAATTTTTGTCAGTTTTCTACATCCGAAATTTACAATCAGTATTTTTTTAGTTTAAATTTCGCTTGTGACTTGTGAGATGTCAATTTTTCACTCTACCACAGCTATACATGAAGATAGACCATCACCATTAAAGAAAATCCTGACTATGCAGTTTATGATTAGTGACTAAGTGAGGAGTTATCATGTATGATAGGGACTGAATATGTAGGCTCAGATCTAGAGGTAACTTTCAGAGAAATTTTTTGAGGTCATGTCGAGTTTGACCATGATAAGATTGTGAAGCTCAAGTCAATAAGACATGTTGCTTGGACAAAAACGAGGACAATTAGTTCAACTGCTTAACTAAACGAGTGAACACGAACTTGAGAGAGGTGTGCAACTCTCAGTATCTACAAGTTTGGCACTAGGGGAGGGTGTTCACGCTTTTACAAGTCGGCGGCACGAGAGGTGGCAATTATGGCAAGCTGAATCATTCCATAGTCGAATCGCTGCTTGCAAAAATTCTAAGGTATGTTCAAATGGAAGAGATGGACTGCAAGAATGAGAGAGAAGGGCAAATCGATGCTTGTGAGAAGTTCACCTGTCGCTTGCGAAAGAGGATGAGAAATGTGAACCACTGAAGTAGTCGCTGCAAGACGAGAATGCGATCCATTCAAACGAAAGAAAAGATGACGAAGCAACAGCTCTTACATACAAGAGGAATGGAGAGCGACTGAGCAGTTATTCGGATGACAAATTATGCTGCGAAAATAGACGGGACAGGTGCTGCTACCTCTCATACGAAAGAATCAGAGCTTCTGCTGTGAAAACACAAGGAACGAAGCAACTACCTCTCACAAACAAATTAGGGCTATGATAACATGAGAAATTTCTAAGAAAGATTTCTATTTCTTACATAATGAATTACATCCTGCTATAACAATAGTGTATAGCATATCAGTCCACAAATTAGGAAACTGGAATTCGTTTAAATTAGGAATCCCACAAATTAAAGAAATAAGAAAAACAAAAAATTCTATTAAAGAAAGCAAACAAATATTAAGAGATATTCTAAGTGAAAAAAATAGAATCATTCCTAATATAGTATATAGGTCATTTACTTCCAACACCGCACACAGAGCAAATTGGAAGTGAGGTTAGCCAATCCTACGCATGAGGCCGAATAGTTGAAAGTTCATGTAATGGAAAAATTGATGTAAAGGCCTAAAAATGAGTTTGAGTCTTTTCAAACAACTCAAACTATTTAAAAGACAAAAAAATAAAATACTTGCCGAACATATTTCATTCAATTTTTTAAAAATAAATACTAAATAAAATAAAATAAAATAAATGTCAAATAGGCTCTTAGTAATTTCTCAGTTCAATATGTCGTAAAAAAGGAAGCAAAAAGACATAAAGTGCAATCCTACTTATAGTCAATATGCACACAAAAACAAATACATTAATCAAACTAAAACAAGCATGTTAAACAAAAATTTCCCAAACAAGGCATGTAATTGGACATTTTTTATGTAATAAAATTTCTTCCTCCAACTTGAGTTTTGTGTGCACAAGTTGGATGTTTTATAACTTCCAGTGCAATATAACTATCTAATTACGAAGGAAGTCATCTCCTAGAACCAATGAGACTTTGATTTATTACTTCAATAACCTTTTTCCTCTATGTAACTTCTTCTACATAAATTGTTATTGGCTTCTAAGTGCTTTTTATTTTAATCCAATTTGGAATGACTAAAATTCTTATGTAGAGGCAAAACTACAAGTTATTATGGATCATATAGGGTTCAATATTCTCATTATTTTTTCAAATTTAATAAATAATTTTCTCCAAATTGTTATATTTTTTAATGGGTTGTGACCTATGCATCTTAGATTCTCTCAAAAGAATTACATACATCGCATCATTCTTTTGGAAATAAAAGCCCCTAAACATGATCGTCATGCATCAGTCACGAAATTATTGACTTCCAAGCTATAATGCAAAAAATAGAAGTAAATAGATGATATGAATCCTATAATTGATACAAGATTTCAAAGAAGGCTGGTTTTTCTGGCCATTTTTTTGGGCATCCAGCAGAACAAGAAAATGATGAGAATAAACAACAGGGTAAAAAGTTTAGTAGTAGCATCAAAGCCAGTATTCCTATAACAATATGTTATATGTTAACTGAAATGCATCAATCTAAATTTATAACACTTTATTTATCATACGCAAGCAGTTACACATCTTGGCAAACACATCTAACCAACTAAAAATCAGGAAAAACTTGCTGTGCCTTTCAAGGTTAATGTTTCTAGGAAGTTTGCATGGGATTATTTCTTCAACTTCGTAACATCAAAAAACAAAGAAAAAGAAGTTCTTTTCTTTGAATTTTTTTGCACAAGCAACACTTAGAAATAATAGCTATCGGTGCAGTCTTTTCAATTCAATAGGTGAAAGGAACGAGAAAGATGCACGATTAACTTTCTTTCACCCCTCCATAGAAGTTTTACGGTTTTTACTAGTATGATGACTAACTAAAGTCTCCACATGATTAAAACAAAAGATGGTTAATGCAACTGCTTCAATGATGTTGTAAGCAAAAAAGTGCACCTCCGGTACATTTCATTCTAGAAGTAAAAAGCTAAAGTACAGTCCTAAAAATTCATTTTTCCTGTAGAATCATAAATGCATGAGGGCCCTTGGCTTAGTAAAGTACAGTTGCGCAATGCTTGTTTAAAGGAATGAATGATCATAATTCCTCCGGGCATGTGGGCACTATAGGCCCGCCATGATCACGGCTTGAGAGTTTAAAAAATGTTTGAAATGCATTATATGCATATCTCTATTAAGTTGGCTGTAGCTGGGCCACAAAAGCTCAGCTGGCAATAGAAAACTTCTAATCACCCAAATGGGAATGGGTCCCTACATGAATGACAATGATGGTTTTCCAGATGGGACTTGAAACAAGGATTGATGCTTAGCAGACCAAAAAAGATGGTGCCAAACTATTCAATCCCCTCCCAGCTTCCTCAAATCCAACATTGGCATATCCAGGTCCCTATGGAAAGCAAAACATCCTAATCAAAGCATCAAGTTGTTATAGCACGTTATTCTGATATGGACAAGCAGCAAAGGCTATTAAAAACATTCCATTTTTAAAATTGAAAATTGCAGCCACAACTTGTACTAGATTTTTGCACAATAGAGAAAACAATACATTATGGCACAAATGGGTGATAAATTAAGCGTGACAATGTAACGAAACTTTCAAAATCATGTTATTAATTCAAACATAGTGATAACATATGAAATCAGTTATATGTATTCATGAAGGATGGTATGGAGGAATGCCAACAGGTCACTGTCATATATGAAGGCAGCAAATTCACACAATAGTTCATGTTTCATAGTTCAACAAAAGAAAATTGAGTAATTTCTTTTGTCAAAAACACAAAAGAATATCTAAACCACTTCTTTTGTCATTGGAGGAATGCCAATGATTTCTCATGTCAAAAACACAACGAATATCTAAACCACAACGAGTAATTGAGTAATTGAGTAATTTCTTTTGTTATTATTGTTATCACCCAACTCTAATCGCCACATTTCGACCACTGTCGACCATAATAGGCCTCCACCTGCTCTTTTCACAACAGCCTTCACAAGAGAATCTTATTCTAAAAACTCATAAATTCTAGCATATTAATGAGAAACTTACACTTTCAATGTTCCTTTCGATGTTGCTTCTGAATTCTGATGATCCAATATATATTCAAAATTCAAAGTCTTCTATTTTTGCTAAATCATTCCATCAACTAGCTTCGTCAAAGAATCCAAACCAAGCACCATTTTCTCACTTTCACTTCCACACATATTAGTCTTCTTTTTTTTGTCACAAGATGCTAAAAATTAGGCAACCTATGAACATTTCGCTCATATATAAATAAATCAATGGGAATCTTAGTGAGGCATAAGGATAGATGATAGAACACTAGGGATGGTACCATTTCAACAATAAAATAAAAAATGTTGAAAAAATATCATAAATAATGATTTTCTAGACATCGTCTATCTTCCATCAATCCACTTACTCAACGATGAGCTTTCTCCATCTTAAAGAAAAGACATCAGCCATTTTTTAGGACAGACCTTCAAGTTAAAACAAAGAAATTCTTTAATATCATAATCAGTCTTACCATGTTCAATTATGGAAAATGATAGAGAAAACTCTGAATTACCAACATTTCGTGGCTTTAATAGTTCCTATAAGAGCAAATAAACTTCCACACTTCTGCTTACCAACCTCAAAAAGAAACCTTTTCCATTAAAATGTCCACATTAAACATTGATTAAACAATTTCTACCATGCACCTAACTTCTTGATAAAATTTTCATAGTGATAATAGAACCATGACCCAACATGGAGTGAGGCTGCCATGACACACCACTTCACAAAATGTGTTTTTGCAGTAGTGGTGAGCCAAAATTGAGTGCAACTAAATCCTAGTCGAGTTAAAAAGGGATTAAACACAAAGCAATAGATACTTATATACTGCATTACTGAACAATCAGCAAGGCCACAAGTACAATTTAAAAGAAAGCAAACAGTCAAATTCCCCATGCTCATATACGAGATTACAAGAGCATCTTCAATCTCAGTGCAAAAGGTTGTTCAAGTTTCCATACTATCTTCTGGCTTTCAAACCAAAGAACCATGGTTGAGTAAACTAAGTAATCAGGAAACACAACTTCGATCACGAGGAGAAAAACAACATCAACTAACCTCGAGCAGCGCCCGGATAGCCAGCTTGACTGTCTCCTGGCCCGAAGTCTCCTTGTAATTTTTCTCGAGAAACTCTCTCATGGAATTTGAGTTCCTCCCGGTGGCGTTCGCTTTCCAAGCCGAGAAAGTTCCAGAGGGATCTGTCTGGTAAAGCGACGGCGCCCCGGTGTAGGGATCGAAGCCGACGATGAGCGTGGAGAGGCCAAAAGGCCTAACACCGCCGCTCTGAGTGTACTTCTGCTGCAGGCCGGCGATGTATCGGGTGATGTACTCGACGGTGACCGGATCCTCAAGTGTAAGACGGTGGCTCTGGCATTCGATCCTGGCGCGATTGATGAGGACACGCGCGTCGGCTTTGAGACCCGCACATGCTAGGGCAATGTGGCTGTCGAGGCTCGCGATCTTCTTCATAGTTCTGAAAGAAAGAATGTCCCAAAGAAATACAGAGCTTCAGAAAAGAATGAAAGGAAAAACCCAAGAAGAATGGGAGGTAGAAATGAAACCTGGAGTCCTGTAACTTTGGAGTAGCCTTCTTCTCGACTCCAAGGACGATGGTATCAATACCACGGACACCGACGGCGGCGTTTCCCTTGCGGACGGCCTCGAGAGCGTACTCCACCTGGAAGAGATGGCCATCTGGTGAGAAGACGGTGATCGCGCGGTCGTAGCGGGCCATGACGTCGTCTGGGGACTAACACCGATTGGTATTAAGCTTGTTTCTTCTGATCTCCTCCTAGAGAACACTTTGCTGGCCGCGGTTTTGTTATCCCTCTTTCAACGTCGCAGCCTGGAATTTGGAGGAGAGATTATTGCGTGCGGATACCGCATGCATCTCTGCATGCGGTGTTCGATCCTGACCGTAGATCACGGTGATCTACGGTCAGGATTATTTCCGTTTAAGAAAAATAAATAAAAAACTTTAGGTGGGGCCCACCGAAATACATCAGGACCGTAAATCATGTGATTTACGGTCCGTGCGGACGCCGATCCGCATGGAATAATTTTTCAATTTGGAGGCTGCTCTCGGCAGTGCTTGGGGAAAAAGGTACGTGCAAAAATAAAATCTTATGCACGAAGGGGGCTCCATTCACTTGAACCAACTGATTCAAAGTCGTTTGATTAGTTCAAGAGTCGTGATTTTCGTAATTACAATGCACTCGAATTGATCCCATTGATTATATTTATTTAGGTTAATAAATAAATTAATTTAAATATTTTTAAATCAAATGATAAATAAATAAAATAGTTTTCACATACCCTGGACCTCAAAATTTTATATTTAGGTGTTGCAGTACTGAAAATTTAATATTACACGCTATGAGCTCTATTACGTCATCGTCCTCCATCGTTTCAAAAGTAGCTAAGAAAAAAGTGCACAATAAACCAAGCAACCTCCCACTGTCATATCTCAAGAACATTGTAGTGGAGAAAGAATCGCAGGCCTAGCTACCTCCCTCTTCCACTTTAAGCCGAGCTACCTCCCAATAGCGTTTAAAGTCTCATATGAAGGTTGAACATCCACAAATTGCCCAAATGAATTCTCTTCCATCATAAAAGTTATTGGATAATAATTCATCCCATAATGATCTAATCTCTTTGATATTGCAGCAATCTGCGAAGCCAACATAGATATTGCATCAGAATCATGGATACTAGCTACTCTTTTAAGATTTACCATTTCAGAGGGTCATTGAAAATTGTTAGTAGTCATTTCTTCTAATAATGAATAAGCCTCATCAAAAGCTTTTGACATTAACGAACCACCAGCCACAACATCTATAATCGATCTAAGTGATCCTACTAATCCATTATAAAAAGTTTGAATTATCAACCAATATGGTAACAAATGATCAAGGCATTTCCTAAGAAGATCTTTAAATCTCTCTCAAGTTTCATATATTGACTCTCCATCAATCTGACAGAACGATGTTATGTCATTTCTAAGTTTAGCAGTTTTAGATGGAGGGAAATATATGGATAGAAATTTCTGTAAAAGTTCTCCCCAAGTTCTAATAGATCCTGGTGCTAACGAATTTAACCACATCTTAGCCTTATCCCTAAGTGAAAAAGGAAAAAGTCTAAGTCTAACAGCATCGTTTGAGACTTTATCATATTTAAAAGTAGCACACAGCTCTAAAAAACTAGTGAGGTGAAAATTAGGATCTTCATTTGGTGTACCTCTGAATTGATTGTTTTGTACCATTTGGATAATAGCAGGTTTAAGCTCAA